GGAAGTTACTGAATTGTCCAAAAGAAGCATTTGCAATGTTATTTTCTGATTTTAAAATTATTTTTTTCTGTATCATGTTATGTTTTGCAATATATACCATGACGAAATCAGTAGAAAATCCTTTTATCACAGTAACTCTTAAAATTATTTCCTATTGACCTTATATCTATTTTACGGGTTGGTGACTGCCCTTTTCACCATTTTTGTCTTTATTTTTATCATATTGTTCTAGACAGATCATCATAGGTTCATGAGATTATTTTCATACATGTTTTCAATAATTGGAAAAATATTAAATTGTGTAATACAATACAAAATAATAGCCTACAAGTGCAGAAGGGCACGGTGCCTGTTTGAGCCGTGTCCATACTTTGTTAAATAGTAGTTTACAGCAACTGGATAAAACATTTTACAATATTTATGTAGAAATATTTGCATGATAAATAAGGTCATTAAGCTGGCAAACTGCAATATACTGCAGACTTTTCAGAGAGGTTACTTCGATGTATTCATTCAGCTTAGTGAAAACATAATATAGATATGTACCTATACAAATAAGAACTTGAATTCTTAGAGAGCCTTTGAATGTTATTAGACTAACGAAAAGGGTTGTGCATGTTTACTAGCGCTACTCTGCAACAAAAACCATTTAATTTATCTCAAAATATATATTCTTAAAGTGCACTGATCAGCAGCAAAAAAATCTATGTAACTTACCCATATGTTATTGAAAATAACACAGCATTTTGGCTGTAAATATGGCCCAATGAGTAAATAATATTTAAGCAGCTACTGTCATGACAGAAAGGTCATATTCCTTTTAAACTAGATCACATCATCCTTTATAAGATACGTTGATTAACAATGCATGTAAACGTCAATATTTACGTAACAGCAAATTTACAGTATTTTTGCTTTTTGGAAATGTCCCATTGCTATGTCATTTGCATTATTTGTTGTCAATGAAGCCGCATATAAATGAGGAGGCTCCTAACAGTTTAAGAATAAAAGCCAACTTCACTTCAAGTATATTCCACTACACCTCACATTCCGTAGAGAGATTATATTGACAACTTTATGTAATTGATATGGCTGAGACAACTAACTGACATCCCCCATGTCAAGGAATTCCAGCTTTAACAGTAACCCCACAACAAATTTCTCAAAACTGTGATAGATGGTTATTCATTAGCACAGAAGTACGATATGAACTGACGCGACGTGGCGAAGGAAAAATCAAACTTACACTGTAATGGATATCTTCCTTTGAAGTTAGAACGTGTCTTCCCAACAAACAGATATGTTTTTCAAATAAAAACATAGATTAATCTGCATTACACTGATGAAATCACGGAAGTGTTTAACTACAAAAGATCCACCAATACGATTTTATATTTAAAGTTTAATCCAAACGATGAGATACCAGATAATATACTAATAACTCCGATGACGTACAGTATGGGAGATATTTTATTCATTGAATGATCAACCATATTTGGTAACTATCATTATTGTTTTTACACTTATTAATCTTTAAACAATGCTAAATGCTCAAAATATGTACAATTTCACTCAATTTATCGCAGTTAGATGAATTAGCGTAATCCTTGAAAATAACCGTCGATTTCGACGGGTTTCACCTAGTATCTATATAATTAATACGCTACACGAAACTTTGTCGGTTGAACTCCTCCGCCATTTCTTAACCGATTTTATCCATTGACGTCTCATTTGAAAGAGCGTGTCGCGTAGATTTGCAAACTGGCCTTACATTTTTGAAAAAGTCCCTTGGGCTCTGCCCCAGTGGCTTTTAAAGTTCCCATGTTATCCTTATGAAGAACATATTTGTTTACATTATGATCAGCTGGATATTTAATTGCTGTTAATATTTAAGGTGAAATTCAAAGAAATGCGTCCTACAAAAATTAAATCATTGAAAGAACCCATTTGCAAATTATGGAAACATAAAAAGGCCACTGAGTAGAAGAAATAGAGACAATATTTTTTAAAGAATTTATGATCGTTATTAGCCTATATAATGAAGAACACCTGCAAGATGAAGATTCCTACAAACGATGGACGAGGGTATTAGCCGAAGTGCTACAATTTATAGTAGGAAACATGGACTTAACTTTTCTAGGAAATGTTGAACATCGTGAGTATCTCCATGAGATACACACCGGTAATCTTTGAGTTGACTCTTTTAAACTCTTTGTAAATATGGCTGTTTTTCATTTTGAAATAACTTCTGTAATACTTTGCGATTGCTCGAATTCGAGCAACATGTACACTATAAATTTGTAACTATAAATTTGTTACCAACATTCTTTACCTACAACTTTTATCATGGAGTTTTATCACAATTTGAATACATTATCTTTAAAGTGGTGATTAAGAAATATTTATTTTACTGTAACTTTGGTATGACAGAAATTTTCACGTCATAATATGCAGTTGTACTTAGTTTTAAAAAGATTTCAGAGTTTGGCTGTGCTATTTGTGTAAACAGCAACTGTTTTATGTGTGTTTACTAAAGTTATTACCACTCAAATTTACTTACAACCTTTGGCAATATGTCCAGTGTCAAAAATAAAATTGCTCTTACTCTTTTCACTTCTAAGTAGTGTTTTGTCACAATACAAAACAATATTGAACAATATTTGTATTTGTGACTCAGTAAAAAAAAAACTTATTTAAAAAATAAAAATCCTACACTTAAGAATTGGACGGCTAAATATAAATGTACAGCATAACCACAAAACTAAAATCTTGAGAGGGGTAAATGAGAGGAAGCTTTTGTAAAATTGGCGAGTTAATGTTCAGTCAGGAGAAATAATAATGTTCAAGAGTGCAGGAGTGCTTTTTGACATTCTATCAAAATTAGTTTTCTTGCTTCATTGAGCAATCTGCTTTGAAAAACCATAAGACATGTGTCATAAAGCTACGCGCGCACTACGGCGGCACGGCACGGACGGGCGGTACGGGACGTCCGCACATCCGCAATTTAGGACAGTTGACAGTCTGCGAGCTAAAAATTGGGAGTAAAGATGGATGTAGATAAAGTGGTGATAGTAGGTTTAATTTTAGCAGAGGAAGAGGAGACAAGAAGGTGCAAGCTAAGATTTTAGATACAGCACATAAACAGGAAAATACTAAGCTTTGGAGAGTTCCACACCTTGTTTCCTGATCTTGTAGAAGGATTATGTGTAAAACTTACCAGATTGTTTCATAATAGATCATATTTCTGCCCATATATTGTCACGCCGGACGTTATTAAAATATTCCGGATGTCTTATGTTGTACAGTTTCGGGTATTTCTCAACGAGAAAAATCAACTTTCTAACATCTATGTTTACAACACACGAAAACACTACTACTTTGACAGAGATCAGTTGAGAATGGCGGATGTCCCGTGCCGCCCGCCCGGTCGGTGTGCAGTGCTCCCGGTCGGTACGGACGGTACGGGCGTCACGGCAGCTCGGAAATGTCCTGGAGTTCTGTCTCCCGGACTTTTTAACAAACGGCGGAAGCTGCCGAACGTCCGTTGCCGGCCGTACTGCCGTAGTGGGCGCACTCATATGACATTCAATGTTATTAACTTTTAAAAATTGCCGTACCGCCCGCCCGTCCGTGCCGTGCCTCCGTAGTGCGCGCGCGGTTATGTCCTATTCCGCCCGAGTTTTATTTCGCCCGGAGCCTAATTACTCCCAATTCGCCCGCGGTCCCAGATTAACCCCTATAATCCTCAGCTCTACCTGCGTCAGGAGTCCTATTCCATCCACGGTGGCGAAGCCCCGCCTCCTAGGACCCCACCCACCCCCAACTATGTAAAAGCCCTCCCTTACCCATCACCCCGTTATCCACCTCCGACTACACGGCTATTTAAGCTTAAAATATTTATTTGACAAACCAGACAAACCAAGCGAATTTCCTTTATATTAATGTAAAGTTTAAACACGAAGTTTTAAGCATTAAAATATAAAGGGGCATGTGCCCTTATTGATGTAGCCGTTGTAAAGATATGTTAAATCTTTATAATCTGGAACTTTCCTTTGCGTTGAAACGCTTCAACAGTGATATTGATACATGTTTACGACATAACAGATTAATAGAATTTGCTACCTATGTGCTGTTAGTTACTGTATGTTTGTCTCCCTATCCAAAATGTGCAAATAAGCAATTTAATTATTTAAAATATTGCGTTTAACGGCAAACAGAAACATATGATAACACTGCAATCCAAGACATGGCCAAACAAAGGCCACTAGTTAGCGGCTTCTAGTGTTAAATACCCAACTGCACACCTTTGAGTTTTCTTTATTATGCAATGATGAGACAAACATACAGTAACTAACAGCACATAGGTAGCAAATTATATTAATCTGTTATGTCGTAAACATGTATCAATATCACTGTTGAAGCGTTTCAACGCAAAGGAAAGTTCCAGATTATAAAGATTTAACATATCTTTACAACGGCTACATCAATAAGGGCACATGCCCCTTCATATTTTAATGCTTAAAACTTCGTGTTTAAACTTTACATTAATATAAAGGAAATTCGCTTGGTTTGTCTGGTTTGTCAAATAAATATTTTAAGCTTAAATAGCCGTGTAGTCGGAGGTGGATAACGGGGTGATGGGTAGGGGAGGGCTTTTACATAGTTGGGGGTGGGTGGGGTCCTAGGAGGCGGGGCTTCGCCACCGTGGATGGAATAGGACTCCTGACGGAGGTAGAGCTGAGGATTATAGGGGTTAATCTGGGACCGCGGGCGAATTGGGAGTAATTAGGCTCCGGGCGAAATAAAACTCGGGCGGAATAGGACTACACGGCGCGCGCAGCTTAACGTGTAATTAAACCTTTTTATGACACTTAGTTAGCTGTTAAACTTTTGAATGAAAAATTTTCAAAATATTTGAGTTAAAACACAAAATATTAATAGCATTTCCAAAGTTCAAACTGAAATGCTTGATTTAAGCTTGAAAAATAAATTGATTGAACCTTTTTTCTTGGGTCGTCGCCGACAACCGTCTGAAGAACTGATTCTGCAACCTACAAACAATCACGAAAGTAGCACAAAACACACATCTACGACATCGACTTACCAGCTTCCATTCAAATATAATATGTTTGCACACAGTATTAGTAACAACAATGAACAATAAAAATTTTTTGTCAACCAGAGATCTTTTGGTAAATAAATTTACAATACGAGTGTCATAAATTTCTTCACTATTTTGCACAAGCAGTCGGTAACATTGTAAAGGGCAATAAAATTTAACAAATTAAAATAGAAGCTGAAAAGTCTATTGATGCATACAAAACCGTTGCGATTACAACAATATGGCACTATACTAAAATCTATGGGACACTATTAGACGACTAGATACTACTAATACTGTACAACACAAAACATATTTACACACTCTATATTTCGATGCTAAAATAGATCCAAAATCAACTATTTACAATTTGAAGGAGATCTACCTACTTAGAAAATTAATTTTAAAAAATTTTGAAGATAAAAAGTTACTTTATGACAAGTATATTTTAAAGAGTTTAAAATTGTACTTTTTATGTTTTCTTTAAGCACAAGGAACTGTAAGAAATTAACCCATCAAGCCATTTTGTAACTAAAGCGTTTAAGGAAAAAATTGACAGTTTATAGGCTTTGACGTTAAGAATAAAAAACTAGTATTTTATACAGAACTAGCTTAAATTTCTGCTAAACTTTGTTAAGACAAGAAATATGTGATGAGTTTAAATAAAATACACAAAAAAACTCTGATTAATCTTTTTCACATTTTGAATAAAGGTGAGACACAGAAGAAATAAGTTGATGGGAGTTTTGGAATTATGAAATTAATTTAAATATTTTTGAATATTCCCTTTCGCCCAATATGACTTTGAATTTTGTTCAAATGCATTTGTTAAGTATACAACCACCAAAGACAGTACCTTTTGCTTGTGCATGACCTCGAAGGGCACACCATGGGGTGGAGGGGGGGCTCTCATGGAGGGGTTGGGGTGGTGACGGAGGTACGATTCTGTCGGATACTCATCCTTCTTCACCTTAGCTCCTGGGAGAACCAGGGGGGTTGTACGGTATGGCTGTAACAGACAACATGTGCGTTCAATAACCTTGTAAATAAATTGAATACCGTACCGATAGGTACCGTACTAAATAAAAAGTTTTTTTTTTAATTTTGTTTATGTCCATGGACTCTAGGTTCTAGCCCTGGATCAATTTTTCACATTACTTCATGTTATAACTAGGGTTGCAGCATTATCACTTAGGTAAAATCAATTAGTAGTGACTTGGCAGGATTTGAACACGGGACCTTAGGGACCCAATTTTCATAGGTCTCGGACCTTATCCTCTTCTCCCTCCTCTCCAAGGGGTGACCCGGTACAGTACAAACCAGTACTGATAAAGTTCTAGTGGTTGGTAGGCACCAGCACATGAACCCACAGCATCACTGCAATGGACTCAACGCATTGTCTATTATTATCATAGATAAAAGGAGTATAGAGTATCCATGTTAAAAGGAGTATCCATGTTATTATACAGTAATTAATTCTTAATAATTACTTTATGTTATAACTGAATGTTTGTATAATTCTGTATATTAATTCTTACCGACTGAGCCACTGACTTTGGGCTGTTCATTGGTTATGAGGTTTTATGTCATCACATATAATGTGTTAAAAATCTAACTATGAAAATATAGGCTGACTGTAATGTTTTGTACAAAAATACAATGTGCATATTGCAGCTCATTTAATTCAAAACTTATAAAATTAACAATTAACAAAACTGTATAGTAAAAAAGTACATTAAAATAATAATTTGCTTCTATAGTACAAGTCTACTGACATAGAAAAGCTGAATAAATATGTAAAAAAAATAATCAAGTATAGTATTATTAGGGTCTTATGAGTTTTTTTTTTTAATATCCAATACAAAATGACTACATTAATAATCTGAGGATGAATTTATCTGGATTTTTAACATTGCTGATGGTGTTTAAGGAGCTAAATGAAATTTATTTTCTCAAGCGTAGAACAGGAACAGCTAAGCAACATGTTTGGTTGGTCAGTTGGTTGGATGGTAGCAATGGATGGTTATTTCTGGCGGGTAAGTTTGGACGAGGGATCTGGGTGGTCCAATGTAAACAGTATGAGGCGGATTTGGTCATAGTCTGTCAAAGTCTGCTAAGTACTAAGAAAACGGGTGTGACTATTTAAAAAAGAGTTCATAATTGTTCAGAAAGTACTTTTATTTATCATTAAAAATAAGTGACGAAGATTTTGTGTCGCAGTAGAAGGATGTTGAGTGATAAATATAATTGAAAAATTACTTAAACTTTTTCAAGAATGAGTTATATTCAACAACATATATATTCATCCCTTCGTAGACATGATAATATTATGGCTTTTATTATTTATCTGTACGTGTCTATTGATGCTGAAACATGATGTGGTTTGTATCTTAAGACCTCCTTGGCTGCCATTTTTCGTATATTTGTTTTTAATCTTTTTTCAATAAGTATGGTAATTCTGTTTGGTCACATGGGAGTTAGACATTGTTGAGAGTTAGACATTGTTGAGAGTTAGACATACAATTAGACATTGTAATGGTAACCAAATGCAATGGTGGTAAAAGTTGTGATTTTCGAGAGAAATATTTTGGCAACTTTGGGGTCATTAAAGAGTTAAGACACCAATAAAAGCAAAAGTTGAAGTGACAAAAGTAGGTCAGCCACAAGGATTGAGTTATGAAACCGTTCCAAAAGCTATTTTAGTTAATTTCAAAATGGCAGCCGCAGGACCTGCCTCACTGACAGAAGAATGACAAGAATAACATTGCTTACACGACTGGATACCTCAACTATGTCCTAAAAACCTAGGGTAGTAGTTTTACTTTTAAATTTGCCATGCCATGACAAACACAATGCAAAAATAAATATAGTTCAAAATTTAAATTTACCAATGAATTTACCTAAAGCAAAAAAGCTGCTTAGAATAATTATCTAAAATTTGTCAGTTTGCATTTCATGAATGAAGTTAGTCAGAGGATTTGTGAAGGAATTTCATAATTAAGGTTTATTCTTATTACTCTCCCTGTAAATTAAAGAGTGATTTTGAACAGCTGATTTCTAGTGTTTGTTTGTCTATGGATGACATGACACATGTTGAAAAATGTTGATATTTAAATGTGTACCAATTCTTAAAAAATATGAGTGAAGGATGATATTAGTAATGAAGTGAGATAAAAGATTTGCTGGTTGTTTAGTGAGAACCATAGCTAAAAGGCTAATGGTCAAGAACAGCTGTTTCAGTTTCAAACCATCCTAATAACATAATCTTCTGACTTTTTTTGTCTAATAATGTTGTCCTCTTATATTCTTAACAAAAAATTGGCCCCTGTTGGACACAGCACCGATCTGACAGAGAGTCTGGATAGAAGAGTGGTTACAGAATTCACCTTCAAATCTGAAGGTCGCTTGTTTAATTTCAAGCTAAGTTGATTCTGACCCTGATGCAATTTGTCATTGAGCTATCAATTAATTGTCCTATATATAAAAAAAAACAAAAAAAAACTGTTAGATAGTAACAAGACCAGTGTATGAACCGTTAACACACTCACTCGTCCAGGGCTATCTTTAATATCAAATCTTTATTCATTAACTATCAAAGGTGATATTTAGCCACACCATTGAGCATACACTCCATTTTTAAGTGTCCTCTGAATCTTCCGTAGCTCCAAATCTCTCCAAGTCTCACTTCACCTGGTCCCGCCATCTGTGTTTGAATCCCGCAAGGTAGCCATCCTTCAGGACTACTTTTGGTAATTTCTTCAAAAAAGAGTCTTCTCCCCCTTTAAGCACGTATCCTCAAACTTCTATTCTTCACCTCATTTAAGACGTGAATTAGTGTATATGTTTAAATTCTCCCTGTCATGTGTCCACCACTCCCCTTGATCCTACATGGTCATATCTCCCTTGGAAATTTGTTTTCGAAAAATATAATTTTTTTATTATTTAATCTTCATGTTCAAATACATTAAATTTCCTTCTATTAAACATAAAACCCCCAATTAGTGTCATTAAACAAGAATAAATTGAGAATAACTCAAAATTTTGTCAAAATATATAAGAAAAGTAGACCCTAATTGCTTTGGTGCAAAATATAGATACTTTTAGGAGTCTCAATATAATTCTGTATTTATAATCCGCCCCAGTTCCAAATGAACGTCAGGTCTAGGCCGGACTTAGAGGCTAGAGGCCACTGGGGTTCACTAGTAACAGAGGCTGGCCTGCGGCCAATCACCTAATGTACCGTGCTGGTGGCTGTACTGGCGTTACGTTCATGATCAATCGATATCTACTTTCTCTTATGTGAACTTGACATTGTACAGAGCTTGGTAGCGGAGGTAATCATTTGGAGGTTTGATCCTAGGATTGGAGTATAGATTGTGTCAGAGCAGGTGGGATGTGCTTGTGCATTATAACCATTCTTCCAAACTGTACCCTTTGTTATTTTGTTGCAGTCATCTTAACATTTAATTACACTTGAGTTAAACCGTTAAGGTTGATTAAGACACATATGTTCTGGTGAGTCGCAGGTCCGTAAAAAATTTTATTTTTAATGGATTTCCTGCTGCGCTATCTACACTCATCCCCCGCAGTTCCAGCGCAGGACTGTCAGTTGCACTGCCGTTTGTCAGTCAATTTTAGATTTCTTTCCACCATTATATTTAATTATTTTTCTCTTTTATTTTTAATCTCTTCGTCAGTAAATTTGAATAAAAGATTTATATGCAGTGAAGTTTACTAATATGTTTATAACTTTTATCATTACAAATTTCATTTTATAGTTAGTTATTGTATTGAATTAGAGGTTTAAAATTTTTAGAGTCAATTTCTGTGTTTTTATGAGCGTTTTAGAACAATACAGTTATTTATTCATAAACTGAAACTTCATCCTTTTGAGAACACTGAATAAATCACCACTGCTCCAAATAGTTTTATGATGGAAATTATTATGTAAACAATCTCAGAACAGATTAAAATAATCATAACAGTGTGGCAACCATGCCTTGGGCTTCTTCCAATTATGTCAGTGGTCTGTGGCTAAGCTGAGATTACAGCAAGGCTTCTTACTGGTCAGGATGAACAACCTTTCGTTATTACAAGAAATAGTATCAAATAATATTATGACTTGTCACCTACGAAATAGGATGACTAAAAACTGTCATTGGTACATTGCAAGAGAGATTTGGTGGTTTTATTTGCTGTTGTACATAACAACAACCTGGGATTTTAGTTTAAATTTCAACAATATTCAGCTGTACACAGTTAAAGTTTCAACAATGTTCAGCTGTACACAGTTTAAAATTTCAACAATATTCAGCTGTACACAGTTTAAAATTTCAACAATATTCAGCTGTACACAGTTAAAGTTTCAACAATGTTCAGCTGTACACAATTTAAAATTTCAACAATATTCAGCTGTACACAGTTAAAGTTTCAACAATGTTCAGCTGTACACAGTTAAAGTTTCAACAATGTTCAGCTGTACACAGTTAAAGTTTCAACAAAGTTCAGCTGTACACAGTTAAAGTTTCAACAACGTTCAGCTGTACACAGTTAAAGTTTCAACAATGTTCAGCTGTGCACAGTTAAAGTTTCAACAATATTCAGTTGTACACAGTTAAAGTTTCAACAATATTCAGCTGTACACAGTTAAAATTTCAACAATATTCAGCTGTACACAGTTAAAGTTTCAACAATGTTCAGCTGTACACAGTTAAAGTTTCAACAATATTCAGCTGTACACAGTTAAAATTTCAACAATATTCAGCTGTACACAGTTAAAGTTTCAACAATGTTCAGCTGTACACAGTTAAAGTTTCAACAATGTTCAGCTGTACACAGTTAAAGTTTCAACAATGTTCAGCTGTACACAGTTAAAGTTTCAACAATATTCAGCTGTACACAGTTAAAGTTTCAACAATGTTCAGCTGTACACAGTTAAAATTTCAACAATATTCAGCCGTACACAGTTAAAGTTTCAACAATGTTCAGCTGTACACAGTTAAAGTTTCA